TGAAGAGAGAGGTTTTCAGAGTGCGCCTAAAGGTGAGGAGAGTAGGTGATAGTCTGATGGATTGGGGTAGGGAGTTCCAGAGGATGGGGGAAGCCCTGGAGAAATACTGGAGACGGGCATGGGAGGAAGAGACCAGGGAACTAGAGATCAGGAGGTCTTGTGAGGAGCGAAGAGTACGTTTGGGTGGTATTTGGATACCAGATCGGTGATGTAGTTTGGGGCAGTATTATGAACAGCTTTGTACGTCAATGTTAGCATTTTGAATTTTATCCGTTGGGCAATCGGAAACCAGTAGAGGGATTGGCAGAGGGGGGTGGCGGATGCGGAGCGGATAGTAAAGTGGATAAGTCTGGCCGCAGAATTCAGGATAGACTGAAGCGGGATAGCCTGCGGTGAGGTAAGCCGATGAGGAGGGAGTTATAGTAGTCAAGTCGTGATATAATAAGGGAGTGAATGAGTTGCTTAGTGGTTTCTGGGGTTAGGAACGGACGTATTTTGGAGATGTTGCGGAGGTGAAGTCTACATGAGTTTGTCAGCGATTGGACCTGGGGCTGGAAGGACAGATTGGAGTCTAAGATGACACCTAAGAGTTAAAGTGCATCTAAAGCCAAAACTTTTTAATGGTTCAAGCTGGCTATAGACCGTTCAAATCTTGGCCAGTTCAGCAGGAACTGGCCAAGATTTGAACCATGTATGGGTAGGCTGCATGTACCCAAGTTGATCAATCAACTTAGGTACAACCAGCCTGCTGGATTTTACATGCTATTATTGCCAGCGGCTGTTGTAGCTGCTAGCAGCCATCACTATCTCCACCAGGAGAACACAATGGCTTGGTGGGAGGGATTTCCCTGTGGTTGCAGGAAAGAAATTCGTTCTGAGTGGAAAGCGATAGAATACCCAGAAGCGCGCCTGTTCTCGTACCTGCTTGCAAATTGCGCTGCTCTTGTGAGACGCGAGGCTGCCTTTCATTCTGAATGGCACCCCTACACATCTCTGCCCGCAGTGAGATCACATGTGTGGGAACTGCAGGGAAGCCACATGGTCAAAAAGACCATGTGGTTTCCCTGCAGCTACCTTTGTAAAAAGGTGCATGTACCTTTTTTGTGCAGGACACAGTAGCCCATTCAATTGAATGGGCTGCCATGCCTGAGAGCAAACACAGCCTGCACTAGTGTGTACTGAGCCTTAGGCTTGGACAGGTGTAGTAAAGGATGGAACCACTGTCAGGTTTGCTGTCTGTGTTCCAATTGGCAAGGTTTCTTTTTTTTTTGTGTAGGACTCTTCCTACATGACTATTTTGTATTACAAGGTTTCTCTTTCCTCTTCCTTTCATGTAGGAATAGGAAGTGATGGATAATCTTCCCAGTAGAAACTACAATAACGTATTTGTTTTTAATGAAGGGTTAGAATCAATGTTGGGTCAAGTATGTTCCCATCAAAAATGTTGTTGAGTAATGCAGGCCATAGATAGGTCGAAAACTGACCGTTTAAAAAAAAAAAAAAAAAAAAAAAGAAAAATCGGTCGTTCAATAGGGCGACGTTACCACCAACGTAAAAAAAAAAATAGGATTTTCGTCCGGTCTAGGGCCGGCATTTAATTACTTGTGTCCCTGCAGAGAGCTCTTCATGTCAAATATAATAGCGGACTCCTCCTCCCCCCTCCTCCTCCTCTCCCCCCCTCCTCCTGACCCTCTCCCCCCCTCCTCCTCCTCCTCCTCTCACCCCCCCCTCCTCCTCTGGCCACCCCCCCTCCTCCTCCTCCCCCCCCCTCCTCCTCCTCCTCTCCCCCCCTCCTCCTCCTCCTCCTCCTCACTCTCCCCCCTCCTCCTCCTCCTCTCCTCCTCCTCCCCTCACCCTCCTCCTCCTCCTCCCCCCCTCTTCCTCCTCCCTCCTCCTCCTCTCCCCCCCTCCTCCTCCTCCTCCCCCCCTCCTCCTCCTCCTCCTCTCCCCCTCCTCCTCTCCCCCCCTCCTCCTCCTCCTCCTCACCCCTCCTCCCCCTCCTCCTCCTCCTCTCTCCCCCCCTCCTCCTCTCTCCCCCCCCTCCTCTCTCTCTCTCCCTAAGTGTGTCTCTCCCCCCCTCCTCCTCTCCTCATCTCCCCACCCCCTCCTCCTCCTCTCTCCCCCCCTCTTCCTCCCCTCTCCCCCCCTCCTCCTCTCTCTCTCCCCCCCCCGTCCTCTCTCCTCCTCTCCATCTCCCTCTCTCCCCCCCATCCTCTCTCCCCCCCCTCTCCCCCCCTCCTCCTCTCTTCATCCCCCCTCCTCCCCCCCTTCTAATCCTCCTTTCCAGGGATCCTTCACAGAGCCTTCTGAATTCCTGTAGCCAAGGGTTATACTCTTGGTACCTCTCTCTCTTGGATATCCTCCTCCTCACCCAAAGAACTGAGCCCCCCCCCTTCCTCCTACACCCACACCGAATGCCCAAACCCTCCAAAAACCCTTCCTCTCTCCCCGCCCCTCCCCCCCTCCACCTCAGGTAGCCTTAGTGCCTAGTCTTCCCCCCCCCCTAACCCTCCTCCTCTCCACAGGGGCCACAGCAACTTTAACAAGCCACAGGCCACCCCCCCTCCCCCTCTTCTCCCAACTGTTGCCAATCTTCCCCCCACCCATCGTAAGGAAGAGAATCCCTAGGGTTCCCCCCCCTCTCTCCTAACTCCACCCACCCCCCTCTTCCAAGTTAACCCCCCCTACTCCTCTTGTACAGGTCCCCAGCGCCCCTCCCCCCCTCCCCCCCCCTTCCCCCTGCCCCCCCCTCCCGGCCTCCCTTAACCCCCTCCCCCATTCACCCCCCCTCGAGACCCCTCCTCTAATCCCCCTCCTCCACAGACCTCTCCCCCGGCCCCCCCGGCTCCTCCTCACACCCCACCCTCCCCCCCCATCTCCCCCCCGACCTTCCACCCCCCCTCCCCCTACCCCCCAGGCCCCCCCCCCCCCCATCCCTCGCTATCAGGTCACGCCACTTCCACAGAGCATGACTCCCCCCCCATACCTCCACAGTCATTCCCCCTCCCCACCAGCTGTAGCCAACTAATGCCACTTATACGTTTTACCTTGCCTGTGCTTACATGGGTCTTCTTTAGGTACTCTGTTTTCCTCCCCCACACTCGAAAGACATGCTGATAGGTAAATGGCTAGTATTTAAAGTGGCCTAATATGTGTTTGGATCTAAACATTTCAACTGCATCCTTCTATGGTACTTCCTGGTATCACTCTTTCCAGTTTGAGTTCTCGTTCTAGTTTGAGATCTCAGCATGGTTATGGCAGCAAGGATGGGTCACTTTAGGCTAGCCGTACATTTTCAGCCAATTTCAACTACTTTTGAGCCACGAATAATCACAAATATGATTGCAAGTAGTTGGCAGAAATTAATCAATATACCACCCTAAAGGTCAATCGACACCAGATTTTGGTCGATGGTAAAGTCAAAACGGGGCAATAAATTGACAGCTTTAAAGTGGTTGTAAAGGCAGAAGGTTTTTCTTAATTGTCTGTATTAAGCACCCACTAAATACTTACCTGAGCTTTCTTTTCTCACAGGGCTGAGCCACACTATGTGTGTCAATGGACACACAGAGCCTGGCTCAGGATTGAGCCCATGAGTGCCCCCATAGCAAGCAACTTTCTGTGGGGGCACTCAGAAGGGGGGAGGAATGAGGAGCACTGGTAGGGGACCCCAGAAGAGGAGGATTGGGGCTGCTCTGTGCAAAACATGCAGTATGACATGCTCGTTATTAGAAAAGAAAAGCTTTACAATCACTTTAATACAGGTATTAATGAACAAGCATGGCAATGTTGAAATCAGTTGGATTTTTCTGCTGTGTTCAATAGTTGAAATTTTGACCCCACCTCCTTGCATTGGATTGAACCCACCATTTTATGTCTTCTATTGCTTTGTGATTTTGCCGAAAATTGGAATCGTAGGTTTGATTGCTCTGTTAAATTGCCGCATTTCCCCTTGGTGTACTCATCTGATTCTTTGACATTCTTTGAACACGTCAATAAAAATGTATATGATGGTCGATAAAGAAGACCTGCTTTCCTTTGCTGTGTGTTCTAGGGTGACAGGATCACCATATTTGTATTTCTTTCGATAAAAGTATACCTATAATCCTTCTCACTGCCTCCATAGTGTCATTTGTTCTTACGAAATCAATGGGCTTTTATTCTCCTCACCTTAAATTCCCTGAACAAAATGGCCGCCATTTTGGCTCAAAAACGACCGCTGCCCTGAAACAGAGGTGAACCCTTTTCGAGGCTGCATTGCGATTCCGACAGACGTGCGAGGTTTCTGTCCTTACCCTCGTGCCGTCATCACTTCTAATTTTAGTGATGGACATCTTGGCATGAGCTGGAAATTAGGAAGCGCATTTTAATGCAAGCTGCTGAATTATCACTGAGTTATTGTTGGATACGCATCTGGCGAAGCAAGCCCCCGGCACTTCCCTGGCATCAGCTGCCCTCCTCGGGTTTTATTGTGGTCTTTCCAGGGGATTTTCATTACGATCATCATCTATCTGCTTCATTGCTTGTCTTGCTCTGAAAACCTACATTGTACCTCTGAGTTTGCAATGGTATTTTATGGTGTGGAGTGATGGTAATGTGGGAATAGTCTGTAAAAGCTGGAGCATGCAAGGAAAATGGGATTGTTACCCCGGAGTGTATGTGGTCTGGTGCAAGCCCAGTGGAAATGAGTCCAAGGACAGGTCATATAGGCCATAACCAGGGCTTTTTTCAGCAGGAACATTTTCTGGCACCTCCAGCACTGAATGAATGTAATGACAAAGGGTGTTGGGGTGTGCTGAAGGGTCTATTGATTCTGGTTGCTGGGGGATCTGTTGTCACTGGAAGGGATCTATTTTCACATGATGGTCTATTGTTGCTAGAGAGGGATCTATTGTTGCTGGGAGGTCAATTGTTGCTGGAAGGGATCTACTGTTGAGGGAGGGATCTATTGTTTGCTTTTTGGAGATCTGTTGTTGATGTTGGAGATCTATTGTTGCCGGCAGGGCTTGAAATTTCCACTCGCCTGCTTGCCAATGGCGAGTGGAAAATATGATGGGGGCGAGTGTGTCCCCCAGGGCCATCTTGCTGAGCAGGCTCGGAGCTCAGGCCGGATCTGTCATTGGCACTGGGAGACGTCAGACTGCTCAATAGCTGAGCGCACTGAAAGCAAACGCAAGGAGTGTGTGCTGTGCTCTCTGCCTCCCCCTAGAGTGCAGTACCCCGCTCTGTGAGTGATGACGAAGTACTGCAACTGTTTATGGGGGGATGGTGTGTGTACGTGTACATGTGTGTGTGCTTGTGTGTGTCTGTGTATGCGTGTACATGTGTCTGCGTGTTTGTACATGTGTCTGCGTGTTTGTACATGTGTCTGCGTGTGTGTGTCTGTGTGTATGTACATGTGTCTGTGCGTGTGTATGTACATGTATCTGTGTGTATGCATGTCTGTATGTGCCTGTGTGTGTATACATGTGTCTGTATGTGTGTGTATACATGTGTCTCTGTGTGTGTGTATGTACATGTCTGTGTGTGTGTACAGGTGTCTCTGTTTGTCTGTGTTTGTTGGTGGCGAGTAACTCTCAAGGCCTGGCTAGTAGCTCAGGACTTGAAATTTTAAGCCCTCTTTTGACCTGTTAAATATACCATTGAGAATGTTTTGTTATATTTGTTTGATACCTGCAAGCAAATTCCTGTTGCTCCTGCAAGCAGTCCTTTTGAATGCTTAACTTCTTATGCACTCTCAAATCACAGTTTTATCAGCCCGCCCAGTTCCCCTATGTGAACTACAGACATACCCCCCTCCCATTTCATTGAAATGATGAAGGGGGGGGGGGGGGGTTCTCTGGTCCTAACACGCCTCTAACCTTGGATGGTAACTCTCACTCCCCAATACTGTATGGTGAGTGAGAATTGTCGCCATAAGACAGGAAGGGTTTTACTGGCAGGATCACCAGATAAGATTAAGGAAAAAAAGACCTTAAAGTGGTTGTAAACCTCAGACATGAAATATGAACAAAGCATATTGCTCTATAGTGTGTACTTGTTTCAATCCAGAGTACTAAATGTAATTTCTGTCTGCTGCCTCCTTCCTCTGCTATCAGAATGAGTCACTTGTGAAGGGTTTTCCTGACACCAAGAGAAAAATGGTGGCGGGAAGGGACCTCCAGCACACAGCCTATGATTGACAGCATCTGCTCTGTTCCTGTGCGCTGTGTGAAGAGGGGTGTCCCTTCCCTCCAATCGGCTCTGAGAGCTCTCCTCATTGATGTAACTTCAGCTCCCCGCCCCCTGCTTTTCAGCACGGACACATCCTATGTAAATTCTGCACTTTGAATGGATGTAGGGGACATACGGCTATAGATAAACAGGTACAACTTATGTAGGAGGATTTGTTTCATCTCTGTGTATCACCTGAGGTCAGTCACTTCACTCTGTATATGTAAGGCTTTACAACCACTTTAATGCTAATACAGCCACCACATCTAACTGGTAAACTGCACTATATCACATTTTTGTTTAGGCCATACCATGATAGTTTAAAAAAAAATAGCTGATTTCTCCATCCATGAACTGATGGATTTTTTTAACTCAGCCTGCAAGCTGAACAAATAAAAAAGACCTAACAGATTCCTCAGTCCACGCTATACAGTGTAGATAAATGAATCTTCAGTGCCCAATATTGATTGGATGCAGCTGCTGTTCACACAACAATTTTTCACTTGAATCCTTCAGTTTGTCAATAGGATGTCAGGCAGGAGGATGCCGACAGGGCCACAACAAAGCGAATTTCAAATGGTTCATCAGGAACTGGCCAAAATTCACTCTGTTTATGCCAGCTGACGTTGTTTTTTCACATCTGCAGCCAGAGCCCTGGGAGCTCCTCACAGGGTCAGTAGTAATTGTGCTGTTTCTTCCTCTCTTGGTTCCTGTATCAACAATTACATTCAGACTTCCAAAGCGGGTCTGAACCTGATTGGGAGCTCCGAGAACTTTCTGGTATTAACATTTTTTTACATTAAGCAGTCGACGAGGGATGTGAAGGAGGCTTCAGTGGGTGTTTTTGGGAATTCCTGTCTTACATCACTAGCAGGGGTTCTCAGATCACAGACAAAAGGAAGTGGGGATGGACTGGTACCTTATGGTAGTAAGGCAAACCCTTGGTGAAAAACGTGAGTATTGAGCAGCAAGGCTGAAAAAAGGACAGGTGGACCTGATTGGTTCACCTGCGTGAAAGGGGCCTTAAGCCGGCCATACATGGGTCGAATTCCGAAAGAATTTTCTTTAAAAATATCTTCTAAGAAGTCACATCCTTTCTTCCTTTACAGTCAACAACTACTACAGAGGTCATCATCCTCGGTCGATGTCCTGCCCAGGGGCGGACTGACCATTTGGAAACTTGGGCACTGCCCGAGGGCCCGGGGTCAGTAGGAGGCCCTATGAGATGCCCCTGGTACCTTTTTCATAGGCTTTTTTGAGCTTGGGAAAGGACACATGGGCCCAATGATCCCCTATTTCCCGGGGGGAGTTGTCAGTCTGCCCCTGGTCCTGCCTTATAGTGGGGGGACATTGTACCCACTGCCGCTGTTTCTACTAAGTGCCTCCCTGAATGTATTTTCTGCCCCAGAGGTATAGGGGTTAGGGTTTTCCCTGGCCCTCTCTCCTCCCTTTTGTATGATATGCTTAGATATCTTCAGTGTATTGCAACTAGTTTGTAGAGGAATGTTCCTCACCATTGTTTTTTCTTGCAATGTAATGTAAACTTGAAAATTGTTAATAAAAATTAAGTGAAAAAAAAAATATCTTCTAAGAATCTTAGTTTGGATTTCGCACCATTAGTGGGCCATAGCAACGACCGATTTTCAAGCGGCCATCGAATTTGAGTGATTGGGCATGTTGGAAAGTTTTTTAAAAACAAACAAATTTCTAGTCCATGATGAGGAAATCGTGCGAGAAATGTTATTTGAACAAGAAATGAGCATGTGCTGTGACCTAGAAAGAAAAGAAAATTCTTGGGTACGAAAAGGCTTGGTTGGTTGAATTTCGAAATCAATGGTGGCACCATTGGATTATAAAATGCACAAAATGTCCGATTTTCTAAAGAAAATTAATTCAGAATCTGACCCATGTGTGGCCTGCATTACTGAACAAGCTGAAGTTAGAAGCTGATCGTCTACCATGCACAGTTGCACCAGGTTCTGAGTGTTCCAGTTTTAGTAAATCTCCCTTATAGTGTTACACCGAATCCTTTGGGGGTGCAGTGGGTGCGGGGATTTCCTCTTCTATCGGTGGCTGCACCCACCTTTGTTCTGCAAAGGCTGTTATCAGCTCCAGCCAAAATTGTTGGCTCTTGTTATCTAAGCTGATTGAAGTGCATTTTTTTTTTTTTTTATGAATAAGCTTTTTTTCTATTTTCAGCAAAAGTGAAAACCTCTCTGACGCATGGGTCGTTGCCAAGTGTTTTGTGGCTTTGAAGAAAGCAATTGTGAAGATGCTAGAATGATGGGAGCTGGAATACTGTGTTAATCAAGCCACTAATGGCCAAACTTTCCATGCCCCTTCAGTCTCTGCCAAAGACTCGGTGGACGCAGCATCCTACTGCGCGGCTCCAATTATCCTGTTATTCATCTTCTACAGCAAACTGGCCTACTTGCTAAATCCCTATGGTTGCCAAGGTCTTAGTTTTCTAAACAGCTGTTTATCAGAGTCATAGAAAATTAAGGTTGATGTGTTCTAGGATTTTGACTGTGCCTCCTACAATTCTTAGGGATGGGTATCTGTAAGCGCCAGGACTGTCATCTTTATCCTCCCCACTTCACTTTATATGACCTAGAACAACCATGCCAGTATGGGAGCATACTGATATGTCCATACTGAAATTGTGAAAGAATGATAAGGATGACCCAACTGAAATCTGCACCCTCAAAAGCAAGTCTGCAGTGGCAGTTCCATTCTTTTATATGCACCCTTGCTCTTAGTGTCATGTTATTAGATTATGATTTTTTTTTTTATATTTCTTGGACATGTCTTTGGCAAGTTTTTCTGTACTATTTTGCTTGTCTTCCAGGTCTCATTTTCCTAGTTGGTTTGTTAACCACTTGCCCTCCAGAGGATTTACCCCCCTTCCTGACCAGGCCATTTTTTGCAATACGGCACTACATTAGTTTAACTGACAATTGCGCGGTCATGCAACACTGCACCCAAATGAAATCTATGTCCTTTTTTTCCCCACAAATAGAGCTTTCTTTCGGTGGTATTTGATCACCTTTTTTTTTTTTTAAAAAAAAACAAACAATATTTTTGACTTTTTGTAAACAAATTAAATAAAAGTAAAACATTTAAAAAAATCCCAAAACATGTAAATTAATTGGCTTATGTGAAAGTTACAGCATCTACAAATGGCGGTATTTTTGTTTTTATATATGTGTGTGTATATATATATATATATATATATATATGCATATATATATAGATATCTATAGATATAGATATCTATATATATTATTAGTAATGGTGGCAATCAGTGACTTATAGTGGGACTACGGTGGGCATTTTGACACTGGGGGCGAAATATAACTGCCACTGACATCCCAATGCAACTAATACAGTGATCAGTGCTTATAAAAAGCACTGAGACTGTACTAATGACACTGGGCAGGAAGGGGTTAACATCTGGGGCAATCAAAGGGTTAACTGTGTGCTGCGTGTGTTTTACTAGGAAAACATACTGCTGTGTATTTCTCTGCACGGTATGTTACTGCGGGTAGGAGAGAGAGAGACCTGTGCTGTTTACACACCGGTCTCTCCCCTGTCAATGATACCTGGCAACCGCCGGATGCCGGCGGGGAATCTCCAGCTGAGGCCCGGTGATCTGTAGCTGCCAATGCCTGGAAATTACCTGGAAATGCAAAATCACGTATATATGCGTGATTTTGCGCAGCCCTGCCACCCTGTAGCAGTGGTTCTGCTATAGGGCGGTTGCGAAGCGGTTAATATCAGGAGTAATACTGCTAAAGGTGTGAGACTTAAATTAGAACTAAAGGCAAATTTTTTGCTTATTTTGGATAGCGTAAGTGGGGGTTATAGTTTCATAGTTGGTAAGGTTGAATAAAGGCATCAGTCCATCCAGTTCAGCCTGTGTGGGTTTGGATATATGAGTGTGTATGCATTTGTCTGTAGCAATTCCCATGTCCCTGTATATTGCATTTGCTGAGATGCCCATCTAAAAGCTTTTTTAAATTATAAACATGCTCTACTGATACCACCAATAGTGGAAGGGAGTTCCACATCCTTACCGCTCTAACAGCTCATTTACATTTGCTTAGACTTCAAGGGCTTGTTCACACTTGGCTAAATTTCTAACTCTTACCAGACGCTCCTATAGTGTTAGTATAGTCATTAGACAGGCATTAATAAGCTTTAGTATGG